TTCTGCATCTATTGAGATAATCATATGGTTTTCGTTCAGCAGTTTGTTAATGTGATGCATCACATTGTTTGATTTATGGATGCTGAACCATCCTGCAAACCAGGGATAAATCCCACTTGATCAAGGTGGATGATATTTGTGTGTTGTTGGATATTTCTGTGTTGTTGGATTCATTTGCCTAGAATTCGTGGAGGATTTTTTCTTCTATGTTTATCAGGGAAAATGTCCTCTAATTCTCTTTCTCTGTTGCATCTTTTTCAGGTTTAGGAATTAAAGTGATGCTGGCACCATAGAAGGAATTTAGGGTGATTCCCTCTCTTTCAATTCTTTTGAATAACTTGAGAAGAATTGGAGTTAGTTCTTCTTTAAGTGAATGGTAGAATTCATTAGCGAAGCCATCTGGTCCTGGGATCTATATTGGGAGGGCCTTTATTTCTGATTCAATTTCCATCTTGCTTATGGGTCTGTTTAGGTTTTCTATGTACTCATGGCTCAATTTACATAGGATGCCTGTGTCCATGAATCTATCCATTTCTTCTGGGTTTCACAGTTTGTTGGCATACAGCTCTTTGTAGTAATTCCTGATGATTCTTTTTATTTCTGTGGTGTCTGTTGTACATTTCCTTTTACATCCCTAATTTTATTGATTGGGGTCTTATATTTTTTTTTTGGTTCGCTGTGCCAATGGCATGTCTATTTTATTTATTTTTTCAAAGAACCAACTCTTTGTTTGGCTGATCTTTTGTACCTGTATTTTTGGATTAAATTTTGTTGATTTTTTTCTCTAATTTTAATTATTTCTTTCCTTCTACTGGTTTTGGGTTTGGTTTGCTGTCATTTTTCTAGATCCTTGAGATGCATTGATAGCTCATTTATTTGGTGCTTTTCCATTTTCTTGATGTAGGCACCAATTGCTATAAAATTTCCTCTTAGCATTGCTTTTGCTGTATCCCATAATTTTTGATATGTTGTGTTGTCATCTTCATTTGTTTCCAGAAATTTATTAATTTCTCTTTTGATTTCTTCTATGACCCACTGTTCATTCAGGAGCATGTTATTCAATCTCCATGTATTTGCATATGCTCTAGAGATTCCTGAGTTGCTAATTTCCAGCTTCATTCCATTATAGTTCCAAGAAGATGCATGGTATGGTTTCATTTTTTTTTTTTTTTGATTTTCTGATACTTGCTTTATGGCCTATCGTGATCAATCCTAGAGAAAGTTCCATGTACTGCTGAGAAGAATGTGTATTCTGAAACTGTAGGATGAAAAGTTCTGTAGATATATGTTGTGTTCATTTGGCCTACACTTTCAATTAAATCTGCTGTTTCCTTGTTGATTTTCTGTCTGGATGATCTGTCCATTGCTGTAAGTGGAGTATTGAAGTACCCCAATACTATTCTATTGGATTCTAAGTCTCCCTTTAAATCTCTTAACATTTCTTTTAAATAGCCAGGTTCCCTGTAATTAGGCGCATATACATTTATAATAGTTACATCTACCTGTTGAATTGATCCCTTAAATAATGCCCTTCTTCATCTCTTATAACTGTATTAAAGTCTATTTTGTCTGATATTAGGATGGCTACACCAGCTCTTTTTTGGTTTCTGTTGGCATGGAATACCTTTTTCCATCCTTTCACTTTCAGTCTGTGTGCCTCTTTGTTGGTGAATTTCTCTTCTAGGCAGAAAATAGATGGGTTTTGTTTTGTAATCCATTTGGCCAGTCTGTTTCTTTTAACTGGAGAGGTGAGGGTATTTACATTCAAGGTGATTATTGATAAGTAGTGAATTTGCACTTCAATTTTCACAAAAATATTCCTATTTTTGTCTTTGAATTTCCTTTGAACTTTTATTGAGAGATTTTCTTCCTTTGCCTTCTTTCATACTGATGATCATGTATCTGTGTTTCTGTGTGCAACACATCCTTAAGCATCTCTTGTAGGGCTGGATGAGTCCTGACTAATTCCTTCAATTTCTGTTCATTGTGCAAGGTCTTTATTTCACCTTAATTCACAGATGAGAGCTTTGCAGGGTATAATATTCTGAGATGACAGTTTTTTTTTCTTTTAAGACTTAGGCTATATCTCGCCATTCTCTCCTAGCCTGTAGGGTTTCTAATAAGTCCACTGTGAGTCTACTTGGAGATCCTCTGAGAGTAATCTGGCATGTATCTTGTGCACATTTTAGAATCTTCTCTTTTATGTTTTACTGTGGTGAGCACGATTACAATGTGTCATGGTGAGGATCTTTTCTGGTCATGTCTATTATGTGCTTCCTATATTTGGGTGTCCCTTTATTTCTCCAAACGAGGGTAAGTTTTCTGTTATTATTTCACTAAAAAGGCTTTATAATCCTTTCTCTCTTTCCATGCCCTCAGGAACTCCTAGCACCAGTATATTGGATCTTTTTACAGTATCCTGTAGATTCCCAACAGTTTTTTGTTTCCTAATTTTCTTTTTTTTTTTGTCTTTGGTTTGACTGTATACTTTCTTGTCCTTTGTGTTCTGATATTCTTTCTTCTGCTTCATCAATTCTGTTGTTAAGGCTCTCCACTGCATTTTTATCTGTTCTAGTGAATTCTTCATTTCATTTTGATTCCTCTTTAAGATCCCAATTTCATGGGAGAAATTTTCTTTCAGGTCATGTATGGATTTCAGTAGTTCGTGCATTTGCTTCTGATTACTTCTATGTAATCTTATGATGAATTTTTTGAATACCATTTCTTGCATTTCTTCCATCATCTTCTCAATCTAGTATTGAAATGTCATGTTCTTTTGGGGGCATCACTTTGTCTTCCTTATTCTTGTTTCTTGAATTGGTGTGTTTATTATTCAGCATATATGGAGACACTTGTTGGCTTTTATTTTCTGTGAAGGCTTTTATCTTTGTAGTATGATTCTAAATAAGTGGAAAGTCTCCTTTCAGTGAATATCTAGAGACTTGTAGTGGGTGTGGCCAGAGAGCTCTGTTCAGTTCTCCAGGGTTAAGGGCGTGCCTAAGGTGACACACCCAGTTTGGCGTGGTAAATTCTCTCTCTCTCTCTCTTTATTTAATCATAAGGGAAATTTATTCTGCTCAGCTGAGCTCCTCTGCTCAATGGAGACTAGTGCCTGAGTGCTAGCCCCAGTGCGTATAATATTCGCCTGCTCTGTCTTAAGGACCATACAAAGGATCTGTGTAGTCCTCAGTATAAGTTCAGTTTCCCCAGCAACGTCTCTCGGCAGGTAACCAGGAAACGCTGAGTACGTGGACTCTCCCCTGTGACCGCTACACTGATATCCTTGATCACATAGGTGGAGTCTTTGGAAAGGTCATCAAACTGTGTATTACAAAAAATTTTTGCATGGGTTTCAATATTGTTTTGCACCAAAATAAATTTATCTTTTTTAAAAGATTTATTTATTTATTTGAAAGTCAGAGTTACACAGAGAGAGAAGGAGAGGCAGAGAGAGAGAGAGGGGTCTTCCATCCACTGGTTCACTCCCCAGATGGCCGCAACAGCTGGAGCTGCATCGTTCCGAATCCAGGAGCCAGGAGCTTAAGCCTTTGGGTCTTCACACACAGGTGCAGGAACCCAGGGACTATGGGCCATCTTCTACTGTTTTCCCAGGCCTTAGCAGAGAGCTGGATGGGAAGTGGAGTAGCCAGGACTTGAACTGGCATCCATATGTGATGCTGGCACTGTAGGCAGCGGCTTTACCTGCTACACCAGAGCACCAGCCCCTCAATTTATTTTTAATTCAATTTTCCATGAATTTTTCGGGCACACTTGTATAGACCAAAACAATTCTAGACACAGCGGTGACCAGAGACAGCATTGACTGAGAACTGCCTTTGCCCTGCCAGCGCCGATCCTACCGCACCAACCATACTGTGATGACCATGGGTGATGACTTCCATTATGAGAACGCCAACATGTGGTTCAGTAACCTTGACAAGCTCATCCAGCTGGTCAATGCAGAGGCAGTGTCCCCACCCTGTGGTGCTCCTGTCCCAGCATGTACTTGTATGCCTGCCACTTGGGTCATGGGCACAGCTACAAGTGCCATCTTAGTGTTCTCTTGCTTCTGTGACAAATGACCACAAACTGAGCAGCTCAAAACATCAGAAATCTGTGATCCCCCAGTTCTGTAGGTCAGCATTCAAGAACACATCACACTGGGCTGGCCAGAGGTGAGGGCAGGGCTGGACACCTTCTGGATTCTTTGGGAGAGAACCTGTGTCTTTGCCTTTTCCAGCTTCCAGACGCTGCCTGCATTCCTTGGCTCCTGGCCACTTCCTGCCTCTTGAATACCAGCCACGTAGTGCCCTTCTGTCACTGCATCTGTAATCACATCTCTTTTGTATTCTTGGCCTTCCTCTTCCAGTTTTAGTTTTAGATTTTAATATATTTATTGTCATTTTATTTGAAAGGCAGCGAGAGAGACAGATAACAGACAGAGATCTTCCAACTGCTGGTTCACTCCCCAAATGGCCACAAGGGCCTGAGCTGATCTGAAGCCAGGAGCCAGGAGCTTTTTCTGGGTCCTCCATGTGGGTGCAGGAGTCCAAGGACTTGGGCCATCTTCTGCTGCTTTCCCAGGCCATAGCAAAGAGCTGGATTGGAAGTGGAGCAGCTGGGACTTGCAGGCAACAATGGCCCCTCATTTAGCTTTTCTAACCCTAAGTCATAGACTTAGGGTACTGAGAGGGGGGAACTTCATTTAGTTATGGTGTTTAGGAAGTGCATCTTGAGGCTGAAGACTGAACTCCTCCACCCCACTTGCACCTCCCTGCTAATGCCCCTGGCAAAGCAGTGGCAAGATGGCCCAAGTGCTCAGCCCCCTGCCGCCTATGTGGGAAACTCAGCTGGAGTTCCAAGCTCTTGGCTTCCACAGTGCCCCATCCTGGTGGTGAGAGGCTCTTTGGAGTTTCAACCGACAAACGATTCTCTCTCTCTCTCTCTGTGTGTATTTTGAAGAATATTTAAAAAAAAAAAAAAACCCACAAACTTTAGGAAAAAAAAAAAAACAACCAGGAGTGGGAGACCCTTAGGTCACTGGGGAGCTCTCCTTGCAATGCTGTTCTTATGAGCGTGTTGGTTCTGGAGGTCTGAGTGGGGCCCAGCAGCTGTCCCTGCTTCCTGGTTGAACGCGGGCCCCTCTCTTTGCCCATGCCTCATCCATCCTGTCCTCTGGCCTCAGCTTACAGCTTAATTGATGGAACTCATCGTATATGAATGGGGAACATCCCAAGCCATGCACCCAAGCAAGCGTCCTTCTGTCCCGAGTGGCTATGGCGGGTTCAGTTGCTAGTGCCAGGCTGATTCACAGGGAAGGTAAAAGGCGGCACCCTAGGGGGTGCCCCACCCAGACTATTTCTAGGCTGGCAGGGATAGTTCCTTAGATCCGGTCAACCGCAAATCTCTCTCTCTCTTTAAAAAAAGATTTGTCTTTAATTGAGAGGATGAATTACAGAGAGGCAGAGGCAGAAAGAGAGAGAGAGAGAGACACTTCCACCCACTAAGCAATCTGGGATTTGGTTTTCTTAGTACAAAGATGAGGCTCTGGCTGCCCTGGTGGGAGCTGAGGCTCTGCGAGGGAACTTTGTTTCCCCAGCGGGCGGAACCGCTCCTCATCAAGCCCAGCTCGGTCCCTCCAGGGTCTCCCCTAAATAGGACACCCTGGAATTCCCCCCGCGCACCCTCCATCCTCTAGGAAAATCCAGAAGCTGCAGGAAAAGCTGAGGCCCCTACCCTCAGGGGGCAGAGTCATTCCCGTGCCCCACGGAATGGCGAGCGGCTAAGGGCGCCCCTGGGCCGTCCAGCGCCCCGAAGGCAGCACCTGTCCCCTCTTGGCTGGGTTCAGGGACCACGAGGACTCAGCGCCAGCCTCAGTCCTGGGCGGCACCAGAGCGAGTTGGCCCCGCCCCTTTGGCGCCGATTGGCCGGGTCGCGTTCTGGGGGCGGAGACTTCGCCCCGCCGCCGCCTGACCCGGGAACCCTCCTGAGGCAGCGCCGGCGGCTGAGGTGGTGGCGGCGGTGACAGCGGAGCCATGACCGCCCTTGGTCGTGCTTCGGGGGTCCGTGTCGGCGGCTGGGGGGACGCGGGGCGCGCCATGCGGGGACCGCCCCCGCCTCTGCCCGTCCTCTTTGTGGTGTTGGTGGCGGCGCCCGGCACTCGCGCCGCGGGATACGAGGTGAGCGAGCCCGCGGGTGGGAGCAGGAGGCGGCCGGGGGAAGCCCTGGGGAGGGTTCGCGGGTGTGGACGGGTCCGATCCGGGGTACCTCGAGGGGCGGCGGGTCCCACACCGGATCCGAATGCGTGCGGGCTGCCATGGAGGAGGTCCCCGCCTCTCAGGGTCCCCGGGCCGCCGGCCTGAGTGTGCGAGCCCCGTGAGGGCGGTGTGGGGGCGACGGAGGGGGGGGGCGCTCAGAGAGAACCGGGGCTGTGGACGCCGCCTCCCTGAAGTCCACCCTGGCTCCTCCACTTCCTGCGGCCCCCTTCCCCAGGTCACTGTCCTCTGTGTGCCCCAGGACGCCCGCAGGTCAGCTGTGTGTGGGGCTGAACGCACCTCAGCCAGGGCTCTGATGATTTTCCCAGGGGGAGAGGGAGAGCCGCGCTGGGGGCTGTGCGGGGTGGGAGCTGTGCGTGTGAGCACCGCGATGCGTGTGTCCTGCCTGGGAGGGCCTGGCCTCCTCTGCACACAGTCAGGCTCAGGTCAGGGCCCCACCACTGCGCCACAATGTCAATCATGCTCTCCACTGAGTCAGGCCCTCCCCCACTCCACCTCTTTGCCCTGGGGTACTGACACGGGTGTGTGTATGTGGGGGGGGGGGTGTCCCCGTGCAGACATGCCCCACGGTGCAGCCAGACATGCTGAACGTTCACCTGCTGCCCCACACACATGATGACGTGGGCTGGGTCAAGACAGTGGACCAGTACTACTATGGGGGTAAGCACTTGGTGGGCGTGGTCCCAGACACCCATCATGGGTCTCGAATCCCTTCTGAGCCCTGGACAGCAGGGTGGGGGCAATGCCTGGCCTGGGCTCCTGTGTGGAGGAGGGTCCCCCTGGCTCTCCTGGTCCCTGAGTGCCCAACCCCTGTGTCCACAGTTCAGAATGAGCTCCACCACGGGGCCGTGAAGAACATCCTGGACTCGGTCATTTCTGCCCTGCGGGCAGAGCCCAGCCGCAGGTTCGTCTACGTGGAGATGGCCTTCTTCTCCCGTTGGTGGCACCAGCAGACATTCACAACCCGGCAAGCCGTGCGGGAGCTGGTGCACCAGGGTGAGCCTGCCCCAAGGACGGGGAAATGGAAGCCCGGCTCAGCTTCCTCCTGTAACCCTGGCTTCTGAGACCGGGAGTGAATGCTTTTCTCCTCTCATCCCAGCACCACTCTCCCTGGCCTGGCTCCCAGCCCTTGACCCCGACCTTGCCCCTTCCCGCACAGGGCGCCTGGAGTTTGCCAACGGTGGCTGGGTGATGAACGACGAGGCGGCCACCCACTATGGCGCCATCGTGGACCAGATGACGCTGGGGCTGCGCTTCCTGCAGGACACGTTCGGCGACGACGGGCGCCCCCGTGTGGCCTGGCACATCGACCCCTTTGGGCACTCTCGGGAACAGGCTTCGCTCTTTGCGCAGGTGCTGTCTGGACCCATCTTGGATCCACTCCTTCACTCGCTCTGACTCCTCCCTCAGGCACTCAAGCCCCCCACCTTTTCCCTACCATCTCCCTCGGACCAAGTCTTGGCTCAGTGACTCCCAACACCTTGGGCTGGCTGTGAGTCCTCTCAGGTACCAACCCACAATGGTCCCCTGTCCTCCCCGCTGTCCTTTTCAGTTCTCCAGTTCCGCCCCACTTGCTAGGATCCTGGCTCCGCCCCAAGTTGAGTGACAGGTGGAGGCCTAGCGTGCTCCATTCCCTGAGTTCTGACCCCTTCCATCCTCAGACTGTGGAAGGCTGTGTTGTTGGGGAGGTAGCAGTGGATTCTGACTTTGGTCCTGCCTCTTCCCTGCTCACATGGTCTTCTGATCCTTCCTCAAGCTTGGAAAGAAACTTAGTTTGAGCTCCACTGTCTAGCTGTGCTCTGCCCACCTCTCCCAAGCCAAGGGGAGCTTGATGGTCATGGACTGGACACTCATTCCCAGTGCTCCCTCCTACCCCACCACCCCTAGATGGGCTTCGATGGCATCTTCTTGGGGCGCATGGATTACCAAGACAGAGAGCTGCGGAAGAAGAAGCGGGAGATGGAGCTGGTGTGGCGGGCCAGTGCTAGCCTGCAGCCCCCGACCGCCGACCTCTTTACTGGTGAGGCTGTGGGGTGACCTGAGCCATCCCCAGCACCCCAGGCTCACATGGGCCTTGGGCTTGATTGAGTGCACTGCTATCAGCGTCTTCAAATTCGTAGTCCACTATAGAACCAGGGCCTAGAATTTTCCTTTGCCCTGAGCCCTGCAAATTCTGTGGCCTGCCCTGGGGGAGGCCTGGCCAGTTTGGACCCTAGGGCAGGTCAGGAGAGTGGGATCCCCTGAGTCTGGTGTGGCCCACAGGTTTGCTCTCCAATGCTTATGACCCACCAAAGCACCTGTGCTGGGACCTGGTGTGTGATCATGACAGCTCCATGGTGGGTGACCCTTTCAGCCCTGAGGACAATGCTGATGTGTTGGTTGATCACTTCCTGGATGTGGCCACCAAGCAGGTAACTGGGTGTCCAGAACCGGTGAGACTCAGGTGTACAATGCTCGGAGCATTTCCCATGGCCCTGAATTTGCCCAACACCTACTCACAGCCCCTGGGGGAAGATATTGTTCCCGTCACTGTGTCCATGTCCCCGTCCGGCTTTGCAGGTGTTCCTCATGGAAGCATGCAGGAGCCAGCCAAGCACTGAGCCTCGGAGTCCTCAGCTGTGTAGTGGGTAAAGGAGAAATGCTGACCAGCCTGTGGCTACTGTGTGTGCCTTTGCCCTTCGGTGCCACACTGCCGCCATGCATTCTGGATCACATATGAGGGGTTGTTACAAAGCAAAGCTCCTGGAAACACATATTGAAAAACTTGAATAGCTTTCAAAATTTTTTTTGCATCAAAATAACTTATCTTTTATACCTTTTTAAAAAAATTATTTATTTATTTGAAAGGTAGAGTTAGAAAGACAGAGAGAGAAAATCTTCCATCCACTGGTTCACTCCTCAGATGGTTGCAGTGGCCGGAGCTGCACCGATCTGAAGCCAGGAGCCAGGAGCTTCTTCTGGGTCACCCAAGCAGATGCAGGGGCCCAAGGACTTGGGCCATTTTCTACTGCTTTCCCAGGCCACAGCAGAGAGCTGGATCGGAAGTGGAGCAGCCAGGACTCGAATTGGTGCCCACATAGGATGCTGGCACTTCAGGCAGTGCCTTTACCTGCTATGCCACAGTGCCAGCCCTCTTTTATGTCTTTTTTTATATTTATTTATTTGAGAGGCAGAGTTACAGGGAGAAAAGGAGAGAGAGTCAGAGAGATCTTCCATTTGCTGGTTCACTCCCCAAATGTCCGAATGGCTGGAATTGGGCTGATCAGAAGCCAGGAGGCAGGAGCTTCCTCTGGGTCTCCCATGTGGGGTTAGGGTCCCAAGTACTTGGCCCATCTTCCATTGCTTGTCCAGGCCATCAGCAGGGAGCTGGATTGGAAGTGCAGCAGCCGAGACTCAAACCGGTACCCGTACGGGATGCTGGTGCTGCAGGCAGAGGCTTAAACTACTGTGTGACAGGGCTAGTCCCCTTTTATGTCTTTTTTAAAAGTTAAAAAAAGACCTATTTGGATGACAGTTTGAGGGAGAGACATTGAGAGAGGAAGAGAGACAGTTTTGTTCCGTGTGCTGCTTCACGCACCAAGCACCTGCTATCAGCAGTTGCTGGGCTGGGCTGAAGCTGGGAGCCGGGAACTCCAACCTCATGTCCCACCTGGATGGCAGGCACTCAAGTTCTTGAGCCATCGCCTGTTACCTTCCAGGGAGCTAACTAGCAGCAAGCTGGAATCAAGAGTGCAGCTGGGAATTGAACCCCGGCACTCCCAGGTGGGATGTGGGCATATGAGGAGGCAGCTTAGCCAATACCCCAAATGCCTGCCCTACCTACGCTGGCATTCTGGACCAGCTGCAAAGCCTCATCAGAAACTACACAGGAATGTGGATAATGGAAAAATTATGCATGGATTTCAGTGGCATCAAACTCAATTTATCTTTAAATTCCATTTTTGGAACAAGCCTGTATGTACCAAACACAGCTAGACACAGGGGTGGCCAGAGAAAGCATGACCTGAGACTTTCTTTTGCCCCACAGTGGCAGTCCTACCGCACCAACCACATCGTGATGACCATGGGCGGTGACTTCCATTATGAGAACGCCCACATGTGGTTCAGTAACCTTGACAAGCTCATCCAGCTGGTCAACGCAGAGGTCAGTGTCCCAGCCCTGTGGTGCTCCTGTCCCAGCATGTGCTTGAATGCAGGGACTTGGGTCCTGGGCACAGCTACAAGTGCCGTCTTAGTGTTCTCTTGCTTCTGCAACAAATAACCATGAACCAGACAGCTCAAAACATCAGAGATCCGTGATCCCCAGGTCTGTAGATCAGCAGTTGAGCATGGATCACACTGGTCTGGCGTGGAGCTGTGGGCACCCTCCGGAGGCTTGGGGAGAGAACCTGTGTCTTTGCCTTTTCCAGCTTCTGGACACTGCCTGCAGTCCTTGGCTCATGGCCCCTACCTCTATCTTCAAAACCAGCCACATAGCGCCTCTTTGTCACTTGATCTGTAGTCCCATCTCTTTTTCATTCTCATCTCTTCTATCTCCCTTTTTAAATGTTTAATGAATTTTTTTGAAAGGCAGAAACAGAAAATCAGGCAGAGACAAAGAGATCTTCCAACTACTGGGTCACAGTCCCCCCACCATCCCCCAAATACCTACAGTGGTCAAGGCTGGCTCACGGACCACTTAATTTCATTTTTATATTGTTATTTATTTACTCTCATTTTTTATCTAAAAGATGGAGAGATAGATTCAGATATATCTGCTGATCCATCCTCCTGTGTGCCTGCAGCATGGAGCTGAGCCAGGCCACAGCCAGGAGCCCAGAGCTCCTTTCAGGTCTCCCCTATAGTTGAGCCTTCCCATGGTCCCTCCTGGGTGTGCATTAGCAGAAAAAAGGATTGGAAGCCGGAAATAGCTGGAAACTACATGAAGCAGTCCAATATGAGATGCAGGTGTTTGAAGGGGTATTTTAAGTGCTGTGTCAAAATGCCAGCTCCTTATTTTAACTTTAAATTCAGTTTTATTTGAAAGGCAGAGGGAGAGACTCCCTAAATGCTTGGGGCATGGCAAGACCAGAGGCAGGAATGGGGTCTCCCACATGGGTGGCAAGGATCCAGTGATGTGAGTGATCATCCGCTGCCCCCTAGGGTGTGCAGAACAGGAAGTCAGATCAGATCTGGGATGCAGAGGAGCTGAGACTTGAACCAGATCCTCTGAGCTAGCACGCAGGTGTCGCAAGCAGCATCTGAACTGCTGCATCCGATGGCTGCTCCCCACTTCCGCTATTCCAGACTCTTGTGATCACACTGGGCCAGTGCCTGATCCAGTAGAGTGTACGTATTTTAATAGCAGCTAATTGGCAAACCTAATCCCATGTGCAACCTTAATTCCCCTTTGCCATGGCATCTACCATAGTCACAAGTTCTGGGGACCAGGACATGGTGATTTGGGGTGCTCATTCTCCTGGCCACAGATGTGTTGTGCATTTGTCACTTGCAGTTGTGGCTGGATACACAGTCACTCCTTTCCCTCCACACAGAAATGTGCCTGTCTTCTCCCACCTAAAACTCTGCCACTTAGCTCTGTGACTTAGAGAGGTTCTTAAGCACTCAGTGTCTTAGCTTTCTCATCTATAAAATGGGCACAGGTGTTGAGGTTGATTAATTTCTGAGGAAGAGCATGGTGGGGGCAAGAGGCGTGGAGTCACCACACAGACCCTGGAGTCGGGTGAAAGCAGGCCTGAGGCAAGCAGCTTGCAGACTCATTTATTTCAGTTGCCACAGCTGCTTATATAACCAAGGCAGCCAATCTGGTCAAGGGGTGGTCTATGCCCCACCAATCACAACCTGTTGCCAGGCAGTTTCCAAAGCCATCCAATCACAGCCTGTTGCCAGGCAGGCTCTGTTGCCAGGCAGTTTCTGAAACCATCCAATCACGTCCTGTTGTCAGTCAGGCTCTGTTGCCATGTGGTTTCTGAAGCCATCCAATCATGGCCTGTTGCCAGGCAGTTTCTGTTGTCAGTGGCCATCTTGGCATGACCTCACCTTCTCATTCCACCACATTTCCCCCTTTTCGTTTATTTTTGAGCAACAGGAGGCATGATTGTTGGCCATACCATTGTTGACCCCTTTTCCATGTGGTCTCCGTAAGCAGCTGTGCCTGTCTTAGCTTGTCCCCCAGGGAATCTTACCCAGTGTTGACTAACCAGCAAGCAAGGAGTGCTTGCTCAGATGGGGGTAGGAATGAGGAACAGTGGTAATCAGGAATGGCATGACCACACACAGGCTGTGGGCCATTTGAGTGGCTGACCAGAGCTAGTGGGGTTTAAAACAGTAGCGGATGTGGCCATGGGCAGTTTCTCGGGGTAGGATGATAAGGCAGGTGCATCTGCTAACAAGGCAGATTCTCCGTCTTGTTCAGCTGGTTCTGGTTGGCTGTCAGTTGCAGGCTTGATGTTTCAGACTGTTCCGCATTCTCTGGAAAGATACAAGCATACCCTCGACCCTTGGTTAGCAGAGGGTGTGGTCCCTTCCATTCTCCTGTCAAGGGGTCTTTCCACCTAACCATAGGGGCTGGGGTCTGGGATGGAAAGGATCCCCAGTGTTTGTAAGCTGGGCTGATCCCTTGGGAATCAAAGCTAAGAAAATTGATAGTGAAAAGGACCTCAGTCAAAGCAAGCTGTGGGTCTGGGGGCATATGATTGTTTTTCTGTCTTTGTAAGAGATCTTTAATAGTCCTATGAGTTCTTTCAATGATTGCCTGTCCCTGTGGGTTGTATGGGATACCTGTGGCAGACTGTATGTTCCAGGATTTCAGAAGGAATTAAATTCCTGTGATGTATACGCTGGCCCGTTATCAGTCTTTATGGTCCAGGGGACACCAAGGACCAGCATGGCTGATTTAACTGCCTTTATTGCATTACTAGCCTTTTCTCCAGATTGGGCTGTTGCAAATACAGCTTTTGAATAAGTATCTACCACCATGTGGACAAACTTAAGTTTACCAAAGGAGTTAATGTGGGTGACGTCCACTTGTCAGAGCTTATTAGGAGCAAGGCCTCGTGGGTTCACTCCTGCTTGTTGCAGTGGGCCTAACAGGGCGAGGGGTGCACAATGCTTGCAAGAGTGCACTAGGTGTTTGCACTGGCTCATTGTTAGCTCTGGGAAAAGCAATTTTATGTTGCTTGCTGACATATGAAATTTTTGGTGTAGAATATGGGCTTGTATGGGTGTATCAGCAGAGTTTATCTCCTTTGTAGCTACTATCCATTTAGAAATGTCTTCATTATGGACTGGGGCGATTGCAGCTTTTGCCTCTTTGGTAGCGCCTTCCCAAGCTAATTGTTTGACCAAATTGTCTTGATCGGGCCAGGCGGTAATCTTTTCTCTACTGCCTCCAAGACTCTGGCAAGGAAATCAGGGAACCATTCGCCTGGGCCTTGAACTAGGTTTCTAAAGAGCTGACTATAATTAGGAGGACTTATATTTTTTAAGGCTCAAAGTGCCAAATCTCTGACCTGATCAAAATAGGTAACTATTCCAATGCGGGCCTGTTCATGAGGATATATGTAGGTGCTGTGGCCTGTAAGCATATCAAAGGTCACTGCTATTCCATAGGCAGCATTATTCCTCGCCACAGTTTCAGCCTCATGTGGCTGCTACCATGAGTTGAAGGAGTTCATTTGCATTGATGCAGAGCAGTGCCTGGCATCCATGTGTTAGTGTTGGCTTACGACTAACCTCCTGCTCCTCCTTTAACACCCCAGCTCCCCTGTCTCCCCCTCCAGGAAGCTCACCCAACCCCCAGGCAGAACCCTGGCTCTCTGCTCTGGGATCACACAATACCTCTGATGCTACAGTCAATTGTAACCACCATTCAATGTCGCTCCTCCCCTGGGCTGTGAATTCACTGCGGGTGGGGCGGACTCTGGATCTAGACGGTGTCTGAAACCCAAGCATGGCTAAGAGCAGGGTGACTGATTGAACACGGGGTGTGCGTTTGTACAGGTCACTACAATGGGCCCTCTACATCCATGGGCTCCACATCTGAGGAGTCAACCAACTGTGCCTAGGATTTTTTTTTAACTACATCTGTTCTGAACATATGTAGACATTTTTCTTTTCAAAAATTGTATTATTTGCTGGGGCCAGCATGGTGGCACAGTGGGTTCAGCCTGGGATGGTGGCATCCCATATGGGCACCCATTGGAGCCCTGGCTGCTCCACTTCCAATCAAGCTCCCTACTAATGCACCTGTGAGAGCAGGGGAAGGTGGCCCAAGTACTTGTATCCCTGCCACTCAGTGGGGGAGACCTGGATGGACTTCCAGGGTCCTGGCCATTTGGGGAGTGAAGCAGCAGATAGCAGATTTATCTCTGTGTCTCCTTCTCTATATATAACTCTTTCAAATAAATCACTGAACTTTTAAAAAAGATTATGATTACTTTGGAAATTTTGTTTATTATTTATCTTACTTGTTTGAAATGTAGAGAGCACCTCTGCTCAGTCACTCCCTAATGCAGGCAACCACTGGGGCCAGCACAGGCTGAAGCTAGGAGCGCGGCCCTCAGTAATCCAGGTCTCCCAGGAACCCAAGCCTTTGAGCTCTCACCTACCACCTCCCAGGATGTGCAGCAGCAGAGAGCTGGAACTAAAAACACAGCTGGGATTTGAACCCAGAAACTCTTACGTGCGATGTGTAAATTCCTAGTTATGCCTTAACCATTGCATCAGATGCCTACCTTAGAGCTTTTCTGTGGAATTTGGTTTTTCTGGGGGTCCTGGAACTAATCCCCTGTGGATACTGAGACAGGACTGTATGTGTGTGTGTGTGTGTGTGTAGACATATGTAGGCACACAGAGGCACGGCCCTTCATTCATGCAAACATTGGTTGAGCACCTACTGATTACACCAGGAACACAGTACAACAGAACAAACATCTTGTTCCTCCTGTATACCAATTTCCTCTCCCCACCTCTCTCAGTAGATGAGCGTCCATTCGCTACAAACATGGTCTTTTGGCAATAATCTGATAGGGCTGAAAATATGATTATTCCTGCCTTGTATGTCACACTGTGTTTTCCCATATGAGTTTTTCTTGCTGAAATTGGTATCCTTCAGATGGTTTAGTAAAATTTCAGATGTATTCTTGCAGAGACCATTCCAGGGATGGTAAGGTTTGACCACAGGTGTGCACTCAGGAGGTGGACTCAGCACAGGAGCCGACAGGATGCGCGCCTGTGGGCACTGGGTGGGAGGCTGAATGTGCACACCTGTGGGTCCCGGGGACACAGCGCTATCCCCGAGGCTCACCCACTTCCCTCCCCCCAGCAGCAGGCATCCGGGAGCCCCGTCCACGTGCTCTACTCCACCCCCGCCTGTTACCTCTGGGAGCTGAACAAGGCCAACCTCACCTGGTATTTGGGGGGGCCCTGAGAGGCCGAGGGGTTGGCACGCCCCGCGCCTCGTGAGCCCGCCCTCTCCGTCCTCGCAGGTCGCTGAAGGAGGACGACTTCTTCCCGTACGCCGATGGCCCCCACCAGTTCTGGACCGGCTACTTCTCCAGCCGGCCGGCCCTCAAGCGCTATGAGCGCGTCAGCTACAACTTCCTGCAGGTGGGCGGCGCCGGCGGGAGGGGGCAGCCAGGAGGCCCCTTAGACCAGGAGCCTGAACTTGTGCACTGCTCCCCAGGTGTGCAAGCAGCTGGAGGCGCTGGCGGGCCCGGCGGCCAACGTGGGGCCCTATGGGTCGGGAGACAGCGCTCCCCTAGGTAGGGGTCGGCCGGCGCGGGGGTGGGGACGGGAGAGGGGCTGCAGGTGGGACCCAGCCCATGGCGGCCACCAAGACGCTAACCAAGAGGCACCTGCCCTTTCCTGTCCCCGCGGGGTCCGGGCTGAGTTCCACGAGGACCCCTCCCGCACCCCTGTGTGCCCGCAGAGGAGGCCATGGCGGTGCTGCAGCACCACGACGCCATCACGGGCACCTCCCGCCAGCTCGTGGCAGAGGACTACGCGCGCCGGCTGGCTGCCGGATGGGGGCGCTGCAAGGTGCGCGGGGCGGGGCCCGGGCGCTGGTGGATACTGGAGGAGGCGGGGTCAGAGCTAGGAGGAGGTGGTGGCAGAGACTGGAGACCAGGAGGAACAGGGCATGGGAGACCCTGGGCGCAGATGGAAAGGGGCAGAGCTCGAGACTGGGGGCGAGGGTGGATCCGGGTGGGGCGTGGTTGCGACGTGTGGAACCCAAAGAGGCGAGAGAGGAGGAGCTTAGGCTGACAAGCAAAAGAAAAAGGGGCGGTGCTTCAGAGGGGTGGGGTAGAGATGGGGCCAGGGACTGGCACGCCAGGCAGAGACCCAGCTGGGCGTTTAGAGCGAGGCCGCCCCGTGGCGCTGCCCCCCAGGTTCTCCTGAGCAACGCCCTGGCGCGGCTCAGCGGCTCCCAGGAGGCTTTCTCCATCTGCCCGGAGCTCAACATCAGCGTCTGCCCGCTCAGCCAGACGTCGGCGCGCGTGAGCCGGGTGGGGGCGGGGCGGGAGGCAGGTGCCGCGGGCGGGGCCCAGGGGGAGGTGACCCCACAGGTGATGGGGCGCCCGGAAGAGGAGCCAGGGCTGCCGCTGATGGGGTGCACGGGGTGGTGGTAATTATTTGGGATGACCTTTGTGGAGCGAGATTTATGGGTCTCAGCCAAGCCAGGGCAGGACAGAGACCAGGACCGCCGCCCCAGTTCCACACGCCCTCCCTGTCCCCCTCTCCCCAGTTCCAGGTCGCCATTTACAACCCCCTGGCCCGGAAGGTGGACCGCATGGTGCGGCTGCCAGTCAGTGCGGGCGCTTTCCTCGTGAAGGACCCCAGTGGCCACGCGGTGCCCAGCGATGTGAGCCCCTTCAGGGACTGTCACCCGTGGACACCATGGGCACGCCCCTCCCCCTCGTGGTCCCCTCCTGTCCCTGCAGATCTCTGCCCGCTCTGGCCCTTAGCATCAGCCCCCCTCGGAGCATCTCTCCCACCCGAGTGGTCCCCTTTAATCCCCCAGGACATTTCCTCCGTGTTTCTGGAGAGCCCCTGCCTCCCAGACGGCCTCCCCCCTTGAGCCTCCTCCTCCCCTGCAGTCCTTCCTCCCTCCATTGCCTCCCCCGTCTCTCTCCTCCCTCCCAGGACTCCCTCCCCTCCTTGAGTTTGCTCCTGCTGTACTGAGTGTGATGCGTTCTGTGCGCACCCACAGCCTCTTGGCTCAGCTCCCCCCTCCCTTCCCCGAGGTGCTGCTGCTTCCCCAACCAGAGGGACAGAAGCCCAGCCCAGAGCTGCTGTTTTCCGCCTCGGTGCCTGCCTTGGGCTTCAGCATCTACTCAGTATCCCGAGTCTCTCTCCGGAGATCCAAAACCCACATCCCCCAACCCATTTCTCAGAAGCCTGGGTCAGCTGTCTTAAATATCAAAAATGAGGTGAGGCTCCTTCTGGACCCTTATCCCCGGGTCTGGTGATGAACCCGAGTGTGCTGGTGAGCAGTGTGGGCTCTGGGTTGGCAGTGCCAGGCTTGCCAGTCTACCCTAATCTCACCCTCTGATGGGGAGAACCTTGAGTGAGCGACCTTCATGGGAGCCTGCGAGTCCTTTCCCAAGGCTGTTGTGGGGACCCAGTGTGAGCACCAGTGACAGGGGATGGATATTTCCAAGCTAATGGCAGATGAAGAGTTTCAATTTTACTTATTTAGTTTGAAGTTTGTAGTTTGAAGTTTGAAGGTTTATTTATTCATTTTAAATGCAGAAGGAGAGAGAGTGAGAGAGAGAAATATCTTCCTTCTGTTAGTTGACTCCCAAAACAGCCCTATCAGGGAGATTGGCCAGGCATCTGGAACACCACCCTGGTCTCCAGTACCGGTAGCAGGAGCACAAGCACTGAACCACCTGCTGCTGCATCCCAGGCTCGTTAGCAGGATCTGCATTGGAAGCCAAGCAACTGGGGCTCCGATTACAGATGCTGGTGTGGGAAGCAGCAGCTTAACGTGCTGCACCACACCGCCAGCCCCTGGGGTCTACTGTTGATTGTGGAAGGACTGAAAGCTTCCCTGTGCACCAGTAGGAGTCATGTGGGTGCTGGCATCCTGGGCCGCGTGTCAGGTGCCCACCTTGACTTTGGGCTGAAGCAGCTGAGATCAGCGATTGGAGTCGAGGTGTCCCAGGTGCCCTCCTGGAGGAGGTCCATGGCACCAGTCGTGAAGGGTCACGGGGTGACGAAGGCCAAGCTGTTAGGATTCTCTAGTGGGATCAGGTGTGTGAGGAGTGGGCAAGCGAGAGGAGGAAGTGGGGGCTGCAGGGTGTTGCACTGAGCTCCTGGAAGCATGGAGCTGCCGTTGGCTGAGACCATGGTCATTCACTTCTGTCCACCTTTGGCTGCCCAGCACATCCGGGCTACATTCAACCTCGAGACGGGTTTCTTGATGCAGATTGAGGACCTGGAGCAGAAACTCGTGCTGCCCATGAACCAGTCTTTTTTCTGGTGAGGGGGGTAAGGAGGCGCCAGGGAAGTGGGGTTGCAGAGAGCTGAGGTCCCTTACCTGACTCTCACCTCCCTTGCCTGAAGGTATAAAGCTGGTACGGTTGGCCAGAAAATCAGCCAGTCCTCTGGTGCCTACATCTTTAAACCACAGCAACAAAAACCACTGCCCGTGAGCGACTCAGCTCAGATCCACTTGCTGAAGGTCAGGAAGGAAGAGTGGGCACTGGGGATGGCGGGCAGGAGTGTGTGGAGTTCAGGTGGGTGGTGTGCAGGGGCCAGGGAGACAGGAGGGGAGTCCCATCTCTCCTAGGTTGAGGGCTGAGGCCACATGGGGATACTGGGGGGGGGGGCAAGGGCAGGTATTCTTTCTGTTCTCTCTCCTGAAGATGCACGCATGATGTTGTTCACACCTGCTGTGGATGTCAGGATAAGTGTTAGAGTGGGAAAGCAGGGCTGGTGTGTTCCCACTGAAGCCTTGGGTGGGAGAGAGCCCAATGTTGGTCCTCGCAGAGGCCTCCGAGGTCTGTGACAAGAGGAGGTGATATTGGGGTGGAGATGTCAGAGGTGACACTTGGGTAGATGCTTGGGTGACACCCATTTAGGGTAGGTGTCTCCCAGGAGTGACCTTTTCCTGGGACTGTCACTGATGTGTCCTCTTAGGGAGGGAAGAAGACAGATGGTGGCAGGACCCATAGTTGTGTGGGCTCGAGAGCCTAAGAATTGACAGCTGTTCCTCTGGAGGTGACGGCTCCATGCCCAGGTCACTGTAGTAGGATGCAATTTTGCCTGTTGTGATTGGCTGACCCGAAGCCACTGTGCCTGGAATAAGAAAGAATGTTCTTTCTTTCCAACAGAAGATCAGGCTGATGCATCTGGGGGAGGTGGGCTGATGCCACAGTCACCCAGATCCCTTCTGTCTCCTGGCACTGACTGCCTCAACACTCGGCTTCCTCACAGACCACAGTGGCTGTGCAAGCTCCAGCCATTCCACCTGTATTTGAGACAGTGGGCAAGGGAGAAGGAGAAGGAGAGGGAAGGGAACGTTGCTTATACGTCTTGATCAATTTCCATGGGGCAGGCTGTGATCACACAGCTACTGACAGAGTCAAGGTAGATGGGAGAACGTAGTCTTTTAAAGGGACCCACATGCCCAGCTAGGACTGTGCTTTAAAAAAGTGAGGTGGGGGCCGGCGCCGCGGCTCTCTGGTGCAAGGTGGAGGATTAGCCCAGTGAGCCTCAGCGCCGGCACACCGGGTTCTAGTCCCAGTCGGGGTGCTGGATTCTGTCCCAGTTGCACCTCTTCCAGGCCAGCTCTCTGCTGTGGCCAGGGAGTGCAGTGGAGGATGGCCCAAGTGCTTGGGCCCTGCACCCCATGGGAGACCAGGATAAGTGCCTGGCTCCTGCCATCGGATCAGCATGGTGCACCGGCCAGAGCGCGCCAGCCGCGGCGGCCATTGGAGGGTGACCCAACGGCAAAAGGAAGACCTTTCTCTCTTTCTCTCTCTCACTGTCCACTCTGCCTGTCCAAAAATTTAAATTTTTATTCATTTATTTATTTTTATTCATTTATTTTTACAGGCAGAGTGGACAGTGAGAGAGAGAGACAGAGAGAAAGGTCTTCCTTTTGCCGTTGGTTCACCCTCCAATGGCTGCCACGGCCGGCGCATTGTGCTGATCCAAAGCCAGGAGCCAGGTGCTTCTCCTGGTCTTCCATGCGGGTGCAGGGCCCAAGTACTTGGGCCATCCTCCACTGCACTCCCGGGCCATAGCAGAGAGCTGGCCTGGAAGAGGGGCAACCGGGACAGAATCCGGTGCCCCGACTGGGACTAGAACCCAGTGTGCCGGCGCCGCAAGGCGGAGGATTAGTCTATTGAGCCATGGCGCTGGCCTTGTCCAAAAATTTAAAAAAAAAAATAAAATAAAATAAAATAAAAGGGAGGTGGGGTAGTGGTGGGCAGCAAGCACACGGGCCCCACTCAAGACCTCTGTGTCCGAGACTGGCAGGCGGGGAGTGTGGGCATCACATCCGGGCAGGTGCATTGATGGGTGGGATTCCTGTGCAGTTTTGGGGTTGACCCTGCTGGAAGCTTCTGGAGGGTTCACAGCAGGGGGCATTTGCACACCTCCCCTCTGCCCAAGGCTAGCCTGAGCCCTGCCCTCTGCCCTGTGTGTCCTCAGACGCCCTTGGTGCAGGAGGTGCACCAGAACTTCTCAGCCTGGTGTGCCCAGGTGGTTCGCCTGTACCGCGGACAGCGCCACCTGGAGCTGGAGTGGACGGTGGGGCCCATCCCTGTGGGGTGAGTGCATGGGCAGGGGCTGGGGCTATAGACAAAGGCAGAATGGAGTTTGTTTGTTTTAGAAGTATGTAAAATAAAACAAGAAGGGGGCTGGCTTTGTGGCACAGTGAGTTGAGCCGTGGTGGGTAATGCCACTAGCATATATCAGTGGCCTGTTCATTCCCTCGCTGCTCCATTTCCAGTCCAGCTCCTTGCTAATGCTTTTGGGAAAGCAGAATATGGTTCAAGTATGTGGGTGCCTGCTACCCATGTGAGAATCCCAGAGTTCCAGATTCCTGGCTTTAGCCTGCCATAGCTCACATCTGTGTGGAGAGTGAGCCATCTGTTGGAAGATCTCTTACTCTTGGGTCTCTCTCTCTCTGTGTCACTGTTCTTTTTTTTTTCTTGTCACTGTTCTCTTAAACAAAAATAAAATGAATCTTTACAATATTTATCTATTTGGAAAGAGATAAAGCCCAGTGGACGCTGGGAGCCAGGAACTCAATGACAGTGGCAGAGCCTTCACTGCTGTCTCTCGGGGTCTGCATGCGCAGGAAGCAGGAAGCAGGAGCACAGCTGGGACTCAGGCCCAGGCCCTGTGATACGGGTGGTGGTGTCCCAACTGGCGTCTTAGCCTCTGCCCCCAACACCGCCCAGAGTGAGTTTAGATGAGGCTCACAAGCTTGCTGTCCCATTGGGTACAGTGACAAGTGGGGGAAGGAAGTGATCAGTCGCTTCGACATGCCGCTGGACACCAAGGGCTACTTCTACACGGACAGCAATGGCCGGGAGATCCTGAAGAGGAGGTGACGGGGACGCAGGGCACCCGCGGGGCAGTGGTGATGGGTGGGGCCCAGGGGCGGGGGCGCTGGCTGATGGTGTGAATGTGGAAGGGACAGGAAGAAGCGAGAGAGCAGAGTGGGGGAGCCAGTCCCCCAGCCTGACCAGATGACCCCCCGCCCCAGGAGGAATTACCGGCCCACCTGGAACTTGAACCAGACAGAGCCAGTGGCGGGGAACTACTATCCAGTCAACACTCGAATTTACATCACGGTACCCTCCCCCACCCCACACCTCCCCGGGTACAGAATGGGGAGGGCCTCTCACTGGCGGCATCTCCCAGGTGCCTGGGGCTGGGGCTGGATCCCCACCCCACCCTCACACTCACCCCTGCCACCAGGATGGGAAGAAGCAGCTGACGGTGCTGACGGATCGCTCACAGGGGGGCAGCAGCCTGCAGGACGGCTCCCTGGAGCTCATGGTGAGTGTATGTGTGGGGAGCCACAGCCACCCAAGGGTCCTTGCACCAGGTCCCACACCAGCCCCTGCAGGACGTAGCACAAGAACACCCACAACCCCCTCACCCCGTCCTGGCTGCTGTCCCCCCAGGTGCACCGCAGGCTGCTGCTGGATGATAACCGTGGAGTGGGGGAGCCTCTGCTGGAGGAGGGCTCAGGGTCGTGGGTGCGAGGGCGCCACCTCGTGCTGCTGGACGCGGTGGGCACAGCAGCTGCGGGGCACCGGCTGCTGGCAGAGAAGGAGGTCCTGGCCCCGCAGGTGGTTCTGGCCCCAAGTGGCAGCGCCCTCTACCACCCCGGGGCCACCCGGCAATTGCAGGTGAGGGTGGCACAGTAGGCAAAGATGGGATCAGAACGAAGCCTGTGCCGACAGTGGACTCGGTGCTGCTTTTTCTTGGCTACGCTGGGACCCACCTTGCTTTAACTTAATTCACTCAGGGGAGGTCAAAGCAAGGTCAGCCCCTAAGGTAGCCCCTGCCCAGGACCGGCCCAAGAGCCCCTCCACCTTTCCTTGGGGGGCACAGCTTCAGCTCCCGCCCCTTCAGCAAAGGCTGTCTGGCCTGGGCCCCGCCCCTCCTGGGGTACTCTGCCTTCCGGCCCCTCACCTCCTCCCTTCCTCCTGTGTCCTGCCTCTCTGAATCTTCAGCCCTGCCCCCCCTCAACTCCATAGGGCCTCTGGTCAGTTCAGTTCCGCTCCTTCTGAACTCAGACCTTCTCCCCCAAGAGGGCTGCCCTGTCCTCCCACAGGCTCAGTTCTGAAGGACCCCGCCCACACCTTTCCCCTGAGCCCTGCCCCTCCTCCCACAAGCCCCGCCCCTCTCTGACTCAGCCTTGCCTCCATCTCCCCGCAGTTCTCAGGGCTGCGCCGGGAGCTCCCGCCCTCCGTGCACCTGCTCACCCTGGCCCGCTGGGGCCCACAGACACTGCTGCTGCGCTTGGAGCACCAGTTCGCCAGGGGGGAGGACTCGGGCCGCAACTTGAGCTCCCCCGTGACCTTGAATTTACAGGTAAGGAGACAGGTGAGAAAGGAGAGAGAGAGAGAGACAGAGAGAGAGAGAGAGAGAGAGAAGCCACCTTGGCTCCCACGGATTGGGTCCCATCCATGGTTCCACAGAACCTGTTCTCCACCTTCACCATCACCCGCCTGCAGGAGACCACGCTGGCAGCCAACCAGCCCCGGGCCAGCGCCTCCAGGCTCCAGTGGAACCCAGACACTGGTGGGCACCTAGCGTGGGAGGGGTGGGCTCCTGCCTGGGGCTGGCAGCTGGGGGCGGTATATGAGGCATGGGAATGTGGGCCAGGATCCAGTGTAGAACCTGAGGACCCTGGGCAGATCCAGGCTCGGGGCTTCAGGGTCTAAAGTGGGTTCAGCAAACTGGCAATAGGTCTTGAGGAGTTGAGCATTCCAGTCCCAGGAACAAGATTCGAGAATCCGTGGGTGTCTAGTTCTCTGAGGGTGTCCATCTGCTTTGGGGTTGCTTTGAGGATGTGAGATAAGCACCAGGCATTGAGAGGATCTGAGAGATCCAGGGGTGGGATTTAGGCCCAAGCAGGTGTGTAGATATGGGTAGGTGATTCCTGGGGGAGACTCTTGTGGGTGCACAGTGTGGTCAACCCTGGGGAGGGAGTGAAGGAGGGGGAGGAAGTCCGCACCCCTCACTCTTGGGCTTCCCCTCTCCAGGAACCACCCCCACTCCCACGGTGCCCCCTCTGGACCCAGCCTCCATCACACTGCAGCCCATGGAGATCCGCACGTTTGTGGCCTCGGTCCAGTGGGAAGAGTTCGCCTGGAGCCATGGGGGTGACCCAGTGCAAGCCTGAGCTCTCTGCTCCAGGGCAATGCAGAGCCTCCCCCCACCCCCACCCCTCTCTCTGCTTGTTGCTGCTGCCCCCTCCCTGAACGCCATTAAAGCAGCACCACTGAGCCTCAGGTCACTGGGGGACTGGTTGAGGCATCTTTTGGAGGGAGATAGAATGCATGATGTGCTTGCTTCAGCAACCCGGCCACAACACCGCGCCCAGGGTTGTGTCCGTTTCCTCTCTGAAGGGGGATGGGTCCTGGCCAGCCCGGGAGGCTTGGGCTGGGTGACCTGAGTTTTCCCATGGCCCCTCGTGGTCCCAGTTATCTAAGCTCTTGCCTGAAAAGGGTCCCAAGTCCCAAACCCCAGTCAATGAAAGTGGCCAGCAGAGGGCACATCAGGACCAGCGCCACCCTGCATGGGGCTCTGGTGTGGGATTAATGCCCCAGAACTCTAAGTCCTAGGAGGTCAGGTGGGAGGATGGCCGCAGCCTAGCTGGACAGGAATGCCTGGGGACGGTGCCTGCTGCTGGTTTCACTCGTGCCTGGAGCGTGGTTGCCGGGTGTTTCTTTCCCAGGGATTTGAATGCCAGGGAACACAGCTGCTAAGGGTTGAATGGCTTTGGCTGCTGAGCTCCTGCAGGTGTTTCAAGGCACAGGTGGATGGAACTGTTAATGTGGGAACTTAATGACGGTGTTGAGGAAATAGGCCTTGCGGCTGGAGACCCGGCTCTTCCACTTCCACTTCCTGCTAAGGTACCTAGCAAGGCAGCAGGTGATGGTCCCAGTGCCCAGGGCTCTGCACCCAGGTGGGTGAAGCTCCAGGCTCCCAGCTTCCACAGGACCCAGCCATGGTGGTAGTGGCCATTTGGGTAGTGAAGTAGCGCCTAAAAGACCTCTCCCTTTCAGCTACTCTGCAGTGGAAAGAAAAATTTCAAGTAAATCTAAAACAATAAAAACCAGAAGCGGGCCTAGTAGGATGCCTTTGGTCACCGGGGAATCTCTCCTTGCAGTGCTGTTCTCATGGGTGCACTGGTGCCAGCAGTCTGAGTGGGGCCCACAGGGGACCCTCCCTCTGCACATGCCTGGTGGTGCCCATCTGCTGGCCTCAGCAGAGAGCCAAATCAATGGGACCCACCTAATCTTGAACCGTGAACATCCAAAACCGTGAGGCATAGCTACCATCCTTCCTGGCTAAGTGGCTTGTTGTAGGTCCCTTTGGTAGTGACAAGTTGGTTTACACCAAAGCTAACAAACGACACCATCATACGATCTGCCCACTAAAGTGCTCCTATGTGTGAGACGTGCAGCATGGCGCCTGGACGGCCCATGGGGAGACCCTGGGTGACCTTTCATCTCCCACTATGGGGTCTGGGCCCTGGATCCATCACACTCGAAGGCTTGGAGGCCTCCCTGTGACAGGCCCAGGCTGGTCAGAGACTCGGAGTGCCCGCCCACGGGGGCCAGGTTAAGGCTCTGCGTGAGTCCTGGTAGTGACTCCACCTGCTGGTGACTCCTGGGAATGTATCCAGATCCCAGTGCAAGGAAGCATTGGCTGGAGCTGGACACCGGAACTCCCAGAGGGTCCCCGTTGTGGGAGGGCACCCTGAGGTTTCTATCATCAGTGAGGGAGCCAGGGTCTGGCCTGGCCTGGGTCAGACACGGAAGCCAAGGAGGACAGTGTCAGCCCAGTCTCCGCTCAGCCTGGGACCCTGTCCACGGAAGCATCCCTCTAAAACACTTCTTCAAATGTGCTCACCTATGTTTATTTTTAGACACAGAAGAAGAATTCCAACCGCCAAGGGATCCGGGCTTTGGTTTTCTTAGTAGAAAGATAAGGTGGTGGGAGCGGACGCCCTGCAATGGCAGTTGTTTTCCCAGCGTCCCGATCACCACAGGGCAGCACCGCATCCTCATCAAGCCCTGCTCTGAGCCCAGCTTGGTCCCCCCAGGTCCCAGGATGAGGGTCCATGAGGCATAGGATCTACGCATATCCTCCACCCCGTAGGAACACCCCTCACCCTCAGGAATAGGCGAGGCTTCGGCTCTCACGGGGATAGTCTTTCTAAGTCATCTAGGAGTTGCTGAGAGGCTGAAAGCGCCTGTGGCCAGTCCAGAGCCCCGAGGGCAGCACCTGTCCTGCACTTCGCTGGGTTCAGGGACCTGAGGACTCTGGGCAGCCTCAGTCCCAGGCGGCCAAGGCGAGAGGCTTAGCCCCGCCCCTCCGGGCCGATTGGCCAGGCCGCGTTCTGGGGGCGGAGCATTCACTCCGCCTCCGCTGGACCCGGGAACCCTCCTGAGGCAGCGGCAGCTGAGTCAGCAGCTGCAGGGACAGCGGAGCCATGACCACCCTCGGTCGGTCCTGCTTCCAGGGTCCGCGCCGGGGGCTGGGGGCACGCGGGGCGCGCCGTGCGGGGCCTCGCCCGCCTCTGCCCGTCCTCTTTGTGGTGTTAGTGGCGGCGCCCGGCACTCGCGCCGCGGGATACCAGGTGAGGGAGCCCACGGGTGGGAGCAGGAGCCGGCCAGGGGAAGCCCTGGGGAGGGTCCGCGGGTGTGGACGGGTCGGATCCGGGGAATCCGAATGCGTGCGGGCTGCCACGGAGGGGGTCCCTGCCTCCCCGAGTCCCAGGGCCGCCTGCCTGAGTGTGCGAGCCCCGTGAGGGCGGTGTGGGGGCAGCGGGGGCGCTCAGAGAGAACCGGGGCTGTGGACGCCACCTCCCTGAAGTCCACCCTGGCTCCTCCACTTCCTGCGGCCCCCTTGCCCAGGTCACTGCCCTCTGTGTGCCCCAGGACGCCCGCAGGTCAGGTGTGCGCGGAGCTGAACGCACCTCAGCCAGGGCTCTGATGATTTTCCCAGGGGGAGAGGGAGAGCCGCGCTGGGGGCTGTGCGGGGTGGGAGCTGTGCATGTGAGCACCATGATGCGTGTGTCCTGCCTGGGAGGGCCTGGCCTCCTCTGCACACCCCAGTGTCAATCATGCTGTCCCCTGAGCTGGGCCCTCCCCGCCCCCATCTCTTTGCCCTGGGAGTACTGGAGTACTGATATATCTCTCTCTCTCTCTCTCTCTCTCTCTCTCTCTCTCTCTCTCTCTCTCTCTCTCTCTTTCTCTGTGTGTGTGTGTGTTGGGTCCCCGTGCAGACATGCCCCACGGTGCAGCCAGACATGCTGAACGTTCACCTGCTGCCCCACACACATGATGACGTGGGCTGGGTGAAAACGATAGACCAGTACTATGATGGGGGTAAGTACTCGGTGGGCGTGGCCCCAGACACCCATCATGGATCTCTAACCCCTTCTGATTCCTGGACAGCAGGGTGGGGGCAATGCCTGGCCGGGGCTCCTGTGTGGAGGAGGGTCCCCCTGGCTCTCCTGGTCCCTGAGTTCCCGACCCCTGTGTCCACAGTTCAGAATGAGCTCCACCACGGGGCAGTGAAGAACATCCTGGACTCGGTCATTTCCGCCCTGCGGGCAGAGCCCAGCCGCAGGTTCGTCTACGTGGAGATGGCCTTCTTCTCCCGTTGGTGGCACCAGCAGACATTCACAACCCGGCAAGCGGTGTGGGAGCTGGTGCACCAGGGTGAGCCTGCCCCAAGGACAGGGAAATGGAAGCCCGGCTCAGCTTCCTCCTGTAACCCTGGCTTCTGAGATTTCTGTCCCTGTTGTGCAGGCTGTACGAGCACTTGGCTGTTCCTGTCTGCACTGTCCCAGTCTGGAGACCACCTGTGTGTCCTGCAAAGCCCCACTCCAGGGGCTCCTCTTGGAAGCTCTCACTCCCAGATCTGGATACAAGGGCCTGGGAGTGAACCCTTTTCTCCTTCCAGTCCTACGTAGACAAGGAGATGGCTCATCCCAGCACCACTCCCTCTGGCCTGGCTCCCTGCCCTTGACCCCGACCCTGCCCCTTCCCATGCAGGGCGCCTGGAGTTTGCCAACGGTGGCTGGGTGATGAACGACGAGGCGGCCACCCACTATGGCGCCATCGTGGACCAGATGACGCTGGGGCTGCGCTTCCTGCAGGACACGTTCGGTGACGACGGGCGCCCCCGTGTGGCCTGGCACATCGACCCCTTTGGGCACTCTCGGGAACAGGCTTCGCTCTTTGCGCAGGTGCTGTGTGGTCCTCTCTGGATGCACCCTTCACTGGTTCTGAATGCTTTCTGTTAGACCTTTTTCACTACCATCTCCCTTGGACCAGGCCTAGGCTCACGAATCCCTCCCCTTGGGCTAGCTGTGAACCCTGCCAGGTTCCAAGGCTATCTCCATTCACTGACCGCTCTCTCAGCGACCCACCCTTGTTGGTACACTAGCTCTGCCCCCACTTCTAGTATTCTGGCTCTTCTCCAAGCTGAGTGGCGGGTGGAATGCCATATTGCTTAACACAGCTCCAATCACCATGTTCTGGCCCAAGCTACACCCAGACTGCAGAAGTAGATGCCTTGCTTTTGGCTTTGACTTGCTGGGCAGGCAAAGATGGATCTTGATGTGGTCCCGCCTTCATTCCAGGATCAAATGGTGTACTCTGAGCCTCCCTCTAGCTTGAAAATAACCTTGGTTAGAGCCCCACTGTTGCCTGTGCTCTGCCTGCCTCTCTCGAGTCGAGGGGAACGTGGTAGCAGAAGGCTGGGCACTAATTCCCGGTGTCCCTCCTGCCCCACCCCTAGATGGGCTTTGATGGCTTCTTCTTGGGGCGCGTGGATTACCAGGACAAAGAGCTGCGGGAGAAGAAGCAGGAGATGGAGCTGGTGTGGCGGGGCAGCACCAGCCTGGAGCCCCCGACTGCTGACCTCTTCACTGGTGAGGCTGTGGGGTGACCTGAGCATCCGCCAGTGCCACAGGCTCACACGGGTCCCTGGACTTGATCGAGTGCTCTGTTCTCACGTCTGAACATTTTTATCCCATTTGAACAAGGGCCCTGCGTTTTCCTGTTGCACTGGGCCCTGCGTATTCTGAAGCCCGCCTGGCTCTGTGTCCCTAGGGCAGGTCTGGGCTCTGGGTGTCACCCACAGGTGTCCTCCCCAGTGTGTATGACCCACCGAAGAATGTATGCTGGGACCTGCTTTGTGAAGTCAAGGTCCTGGAGGATCACCCTTACAGCCCTCAAAACAACACCAAGGCCCTGGTTGATTACTTCCTTGATGTGGCCACTGACCAGGTAACCCAGTATCCAGAACCTGTAGGACCGGTGTGTACAAGGCTCACAACCTTTCCCATAGCCCAGACATTGCCTGACACCTGCTCATAGACCTTAGGGCAGGGGGAGGTTCTGTTCCAGTCACAGTCACAGCGTTCCCAGCCAGATTTGCAGGTGTTCCTCACTGAAGCATGTGTGAGACAGCCCAGCACTGTGTGTCCATGTGCTCACCTGTGGAGCGTGTCCATGAGAACTGCTTACCAGCCAGTTTCCTGCTGTGGGCCACACCCACACCCTGTGCTTATACTGCCCCAGGGCCATCATCTGCTTCCTTAAGGGCTGCTGGAATCAGGAACCAGGATTGGAGCTGGGACTTGAACCCAGGCACTCCAACGTGGGATGTGGGCATCCAACAATGCATCTTAAACACCTGCCCAGATGCTTGTACTGCACTGATGTTCTTGACCACTCACGAAGGGTCAGCAAAAATTCATAGAAATAAGGAACAGGACAAAAAATTATGCATGGCTTTCATATTGCATTGCACCAAAATGAGCTCTTCTTTTAATTGTTGTTTATGAACTTTCTGGAGCATCCTTGTATAGATCAAGACACAGGGGTGGACAGAGACAGCGTGGCCTAAGAACTGCTTTTCCCTGCAGTTCCAGAAGTACCGCACCAACCACACCGTGATGACCACGGGTGGTGACTTCCATTATGAGAAAGCCGACATGTGGTTCACTAACCTTGACAAGCTCATCCGGCTGGTCAATGCAGAGGTCAGTGTCCCTGCCCTGCGGTGCTCCTGTCCCAGCGTGTACTTGGAGGCAGGCACCTGGGTCATGGGCACAGCTACAGGTGCCGTCCTAGTGTTCTCTTGCTTTTGTAACAAAAGACCACAAACTGAGCAGCTCGAAACAGCAGAGATCCATGATCCTCCAGTTTTGTAGGCCAGCAGTTGAGTACAGATTGCACTGGGCTGGCACGGAGGTGTGGGCAGGGCTGGGCGTCTTCCGGAGGCTGGAATCAGGAGTGAAGCCAGGATCTGAATCCAAGCACTCTCATGTGGGATGTGGCTGTCCAAGGCATGCGGCATATTAACTCATACAGCAGATGTCCACCTCTAAATTCCCATTTATGCTATTCACATGAAACATAGACACTCAGAGAGATCTCTCATCTGCTGCTTCACTCCCCAAACATGTATGGTGGGCTGTCCTGAACCAGGGTGAACTCAGGAGCTGGGAACTCAACCCAGGTCCCCCAGGGACCCAGCCACTCAAGCCAACACATGCTACCTCCCAGGGCCTGCAACAGCAGACAGCTGGAATTGGGAACAGATCTGGGGTCAGAACCCAGGATCTCTGATATGGGATGCTGACATCCCTAGCTGCTCATAACCGTTGCCTCAAATGGCTGCCTTAGACATTTCACTCGGAGTTCCCCCTAAACAGCAGTGTATAGCAACTGTTTCAAGTCCTTCCATTGGGTCAGGTGTTCTAAATCGTCTTGAGGGCATTCAAAGGGTGCAGATGTGCACAGGTTCAGTGCAAATACTGTGCAATGGACAGCAGGGATTTGCCATCTCTGGAATTCCGTAGCTTCTTGGTGTCCTGGAACAAGATGCCCCTGTGGATACTGAGGGCCGGCTGTGTGTATACTATGTATGTGTGTGTGTAGACATCTGTGGGCACAAGGATGGACAGCCCTTCATGCATGCAAATGCCTGTTCAGGAGCTACTGCACACACTGGACTCAGTGCAGCAGAACAAGGACCTCTGTCCTCCAGGGTTTCATCTTGTCTCACTTCCCTCAGCTGAAGGGGAACATCTATTCCCTATAAAAACTTTCTTTTGGCAACAATCCAACAGGGCTGAAAATGGTTATTCCTGTTAATGTCACACTTTGTTATCCCTAGAGGTTTTTCAGCCCAAAACTAGGATCATTGAGATGGTTTAGTAAAATTCCAGATGTATTCTTGCAGTGACCCTGCCACGGATGGTAATGTTTGACCACTGGTGTGCACTCAGAAAGGGGGCTCAGCACACGAGCCGACGGGATGCGCGCCTGTGGGCGCAGGGTGGGAGGCCAGATGTGTGCACCTGTGGGTCCCGGGGACACAACGCTGTCCCCCAGGGTTCACCCACTCGCCTCTCCCCCATCAGCAGGCAAACGGGAGCCGCGTCCACGTGCTCTACTCCACCCCCGCCTGTTACCTCTGGGAGCTGAACAAGGCCAACCTCACCTGGTATTTGGGAGTTCCCGGGGGCCTGGGGGTTTAGTGCACCTGGCGCCTCGTGATCCTGCCCGCTCTGCACGTGCAGGTCGCTGAAGGAGGATGACTTCTTCCCGTATGCCGATGTCCCCCACCAGTTCTGGACCGGCTACTTCTCCAGCCGGCCGGCCCTCAAGCGCTATGAGCGTGTCAGCTACAACTTCCTGCAGGTGGGCGGCGCCGGCGGGAGGGGGCAGCCTGGAGGCCCCTTAGACCAGGAGCCTGAACTTGTGCACTGCTCCCCAGGTGTGCAAGCAGCTGGAGGCGCTGGCGAGCCCGGCGGCCAACGTGGGACCCTATGGGTCGGGAGACAGCGCTCTCCTAGGTAGGGGTCGGCCGGCGCGGGGGTGGGGACCAGAGAGGGGCTGAAGGTGGGAACCCCCTGGGCCACCCCAGATCCCTTCTTAACGCATCTTAGATTTCTGCTTGCACAGGACTTTTCTTTCTTCTTGGGGTCGGGTCCTGAGTGCTATGGAGACCCTGCCCAACCCCCTGTGTGCCTGCAGAGGAGGCCATGGCCTTGCTGCAGCACCACGACGCCATCACGGGCACCTCCCGCCAGCTAGTGGCGGAGGACTACGCGCGCCGGCTGGCTGCCGGCTGGGGGCGATGCGAGGTGCGCGGGGCAGGTGCATGGATGTGGGACAGGAAGGGGCGGAGACAGGAAGGGTCAGGGTCTCTGCCTAAGAGAAGTGGGGATACAGAAAGGCGGGGCCCTGGCTGTGGTGAAATGGCAGAATTAATGGGCGGGGCTAGAGTCTGCCAGAGGAGGGCGAGGAAGGGCTGAGGCCTGATTGAAGACGGTGACGTCTACCCTAAAAGGGCCCTTGGGTAGAGAGCAGGGAATGGCGGGGCATAGTGTAGGGGACAGGTAGGCTCGGAGGCCTGGAAGAGACCCCGGTGGGCGTTTAGAGCGAAGCCGCCCTGTGGCGCTGCCCCCCAGGTTCTCCTGAGCAACGCCCTGGCGCGGCTCAGCGGCTCCCAGGAGGCTTTCTCCATCTGCCCGGAGCTCAACATCAGCGTCTGCCCGCTCAGCCAGACGTCGGCGCGCGTGAGCCGGGTGGGGGCGGGGCGGGAGGCAGGTGCCGCGGGCGGGCCCCAGGGGGAGGTGACCCCACAGGTGGTGGGGCGCACAGAAGAAGAGACAGGGCTGCCGCTGATGGGGTGCACGGGGTGGTGGTAATTATTTGGGATGACCTTTGTGGAGCGAGATTTATGGGTCTCAGCCAAGCCAGGGCAGGACAGAGACCAGGACCGCCGCCCCAGTTCCACACGCCCTCCCTGTCCCCCTCCCCCAGTTCCAGGTCGCCATTTACAACCCCCTGGCCCGGAAGGTGGACCGCATGGTGCGGCTGCCAGTCAGTGCGGGCGCTTTCCTCGTGAAGGACCCCAGTGGCCACGCGGTGCCCAGCGATGTGAGCCCCTTCAGGGACTGTCACCCGTGGACACCAATGGGCACGCCCCTCCCCCTCGTGGTCCCCTCCTGTCCCTGCAGATCTCTGCCCGCTCTGGCCCTTAGCATCAGCCCCCCTCGGAGCATCTCTCCCACCCGAGTGGTCCCCTTTAATCCCCCAGGACATTTCCTCCGTGTTTCTGGAGAGCCCCTGCCTCCCAGACGGCCTCCCCCCTTGAGCCTCCTCCTCCCCTGCAGTCCTCCCTCCCTCCATTGCCTCCCCTGTCTCTCTCCTCCCTCCCAGGACTCCCTCCCCTCCTTGAGTTTGCTGCCTGCTGTACTGAGTGTGATGCTTTCTGTGCTCACCCACAGCCTCTTGGCTCAGCTCCCCCCTCCCTTCCCCGAGGTGCTGCTGCTTCCCCAACCAGAGGGACAGAAGCCCAGCCCAGAGCTGCTGTTTTCCGCCTCGGTGCCGGCCCTGGGCTTCAGCATCTACTCAGTATCCCGAGTCTCTCTCCAGAGATCCAATACCCACACCCCCCAGCCCATTCCCCAGAAGCCTGGGTCTGATGTGTTGGTCATCAAAAACGAGGTGAGACTTCTTTTAGACTGTGTTCCCTGCTGTGCTGTTAAAAGAAGCATCATGGTGAGCAGTGTGGGCTTTGGGCCTGGAGGTCCTGGCTTTCTGGTCTGTGACCTTGAGTGAGTGACCTCCATGGGAATCTCAGTGTCCTTTCCTGGAGCTGTTGTGAGGACAAGGTGTGATCATGGCTGACACCTGCCAGCCACATCAGACCTCACACCAGCTGGAGCATGCAAGTTTCTGTGCGTCTTTCTGAATTATTCCTGAGAGAGAGAGAGAGAGAGAGAGAGAGAGAGAGAGTCGCCACCTACTAGCTTCTTCCCCCAAACACTCACACTAGCCTGAGCCAGGCTGAGTTTGGGAGCTGGGAACTCAGTCTCATTCATCCATGTGGCTGGCAGGAACCCAACCATCGGAGCCCTCACTGCTTCCTCCCACCGAGTGCATTCTGGGGAAGCAGGAGCCGTGTGGAGCTGAGGCCCTGTGGTGTGGGCCACAGGGGTCTGAACTTCTCGGCAGATGTGCACTGCTGAGGTTGGCACCTGGAGCGGGAGGCGGTGTCAGGGAATACCTTCCTGGAAAGGTGGGAGTCAGAGGGAGAAGTGAGCTAGGGAGCCCTTTGGCTTTTAGACAAAAAGGAATCAGGCAGGCTGTGGATTCAAGGTACTGCAGAGATATCATTGTGGCTGAAGCAGGGTGCCGAGATAACAGGCCAGGCGCTGAGAGCCTTGGCAACCAAGAGGAAGACTTTGGCTTTTACTGGGAGGGAGCCACAGGCAGACATGGCTGCATTAAGGCTGTCACAAGTCTTCAAAAAGACTGTCAACACCCTGTTCCCATTAAGAATTCTATTTTAACCCTGTTTTGGTATACACATGAATGCCATCCAAGAAAGCTTTATAAAATCATGTTTGTTAGTGTTACACACAGGTTCTCTTTTGGTTCTAAAACACATGGAAATATTTGTGTCCTGGGGGTATTGGAATCAGGGTCTTCATGTTACTTCCTTTTTTTTTAAGATTTATTTATTTATTTGAAAGAGTTACAGAGAGAGAGAAGGAGAAGCAGAGAGTGGGAGAGGGAGAGGTCTTCCATTGGCTGGTTCACTCCCCAATTAGCCACAACAGCAGGAGCTGTGCCAATCCGAAGCCAGGAACCAGGAGCCTTGTCCAGGTCTCCCATGCAGGTGCAGGAGCCCAAGGGCTTGGGCCATCTTCTACTGCTTTCCCAGCCATAGCAGAGAGATGAGTTGGAAGTGGAGCACCCGGGACTCATAACAGCACCCATATAGGATGCCGGTACCGCAGGCAGCGGCTTTACCCACTATGCCACAGCATCGGGCCCTCCTTGTGTCACTCTCCCAAATGGAGATTGGTCTGAAGCATCCAAGAGTTGCAATTGGATTTGGGATATCCCAGGTGCCCTCAGTGTGGGACATGAACACAGAAGCAAGGGACCTGGAAGGCGTCACCTGCTCATGGCCTGGAGGGCCAGGCAGTGACGAGACGGCCCCGTCAGGCTCCTCCTGTGGGATCCAGTGGCATGAGTGGGAGAGTGAGAGGAGGAGGCGGGGCTGCAGGGCACTGTGCTGAGCTCCAGGAAGCAGGGAGCTGCCACTGGCTGAGACCGAGCTCATTTACATGTGTCTTCCCATTTCTGCACAGTTCATCCGGGCTACATTCGACCCGGAGACAGGCCTCTTGATACGGATTCACGATGTGGAGCAGAAACTCGTGCTGCCTGTGAGCCAGTCTTTTTTCTGGTGAGAGGGATCATCAGGCTAGGGGGGTGGGGGTTACGTGGAGCCCCAGCCGCTTACGTGACTCTCACTTCTCTGAAGACAGGTACACTGCCGGTACAGAAAGCATAATGGACAGTCAGGTCTCTGGGGCCTACATCTTCAATCCCAGACAAGTGAAACCATTCCCCATGAGCCGCGGTGCTCAGATCCGACTTGTGAAGGTCCGGGACCAGGAAGGTTGAGTGGGCGGGGGAGATGGGGCGGGGGGATGTGGATCTGGGAGGATGATGTGCCAGGTGCAAGGTGGAGAGAGGGAAGGATTCTCACCCCCCTGAGGTAAGAGGGGTAAGATGTACGGGAGACTTTGAGGGAGAGTCCCACCACAGGAAGCCTTCCAAAGTCAATGACACCTGCTGTGTCAGTCACGATTTCTCTCAGCACTGGAAGTCAGGGCTGGGGCGATCCCACATGGCCCATGATTTGGGAGAGCCCTCAGTGGTTGCCAAGCTCTGTGGAAAGAGTTGATACTGGGGGTGGAAATTAGAGAGGTGACCCTTGGGGAGATGCCTGGGTGAGTCTCACGTAGGGTAGGTACCTGCTGGGAACAACATTTTCTTGGGCCTGTCCTTCATGTGTACTCTTCCCTTGGGGGAAGGGCAGACAATGGCAAGACCCACATTAGTGCAGGCTCAGGGGCCTGATATTTGACACAGTTCCTCTCTGGGTGATGTCTTCATGCCGAAGTCATTGTGGTGGGATACAGTTTTGCCCATAGGGTTTAGTGACACAAAGCCATTGTGCCTGAAACATAATGGAATGGTCTTTCTTTGGAAGAGAAGGTCAGGCTTGGTCCATCGGGGAAAGGCATGGTGGAGCCATCACCATCCATGCCCCTTCTTCCTCATGGCCCTGGCTTCCTCCACAATCAACAGACTCATGTTCCAAAATGACTGCTCAAGCTCCAGCCATTCCATCTGTATTTGAGGCAGTATGAGAGGAAAAGGGATGGGGAAGATGTTCCCACTGCTTTGGTGGCTTTATGAGACAACCTGTGGATACGTGTCTACCGAGAGCCTCAGGGAAGACAGGAAAATTTCATCTTTTCTGGGCAGCCACATGCCAAGAGAGAAGTCTGCTCTCAGGGGTAATGCTGGGAGTGAGCACAGATACCCTACTCCAGAATTAGGTGGCCATGACTGAGCACAAAATGTGGACACCACATCTAGGCAGGAGGCAGTGATGGGTTGGATTCCAATACTCTTAGAGGGGTGGACACTGATAGAGGCTTCTGGAGGGTTCAGAGCAGGGGGCATTTGCACACCTCCCCTCTGCCCAAGGTTGGGCTGAGCCCCGCCCTCTGCCCTGTGTGTCCTCAGACGCCCTTGGTGCAGGAGGTGCACCAGAACTTCTCAGCCTGGTGTGCCCAGGTGGTTCGCCTGTACCGCGGACAGCGCCACCTGGAGCTGGAGTGGACGGTGGGGCCCATCCCTGTGGGGTGAGTGCCTGGGCTGGGGCTGGGGTCAGGGCTGAGGGCAAAGTGGATGATGTGTTTTTGAAAGTATTAAAAGGACAAAAAGAAGGTCCCAGCACTGTGGCCCAGTGGGCTTAGCTGCTGCTTGTGATGCCTTCATCCAATACTCGGGGCTGGTTCAAGTCCAAGCTGTTCTGCTTTTGAACCAGCTCCTTCTAATGTGCCTGGGGAAGCAGCAGAAAATGGCCCAAGTGCTTGAGCCCCTGCCACTCAGTAGGTAAAGAGACCTAGGTGGAGTTCCTAGCTCCTGTCTTCAACCTGGCTTAGCCCTTCAACCTGGCCTTTATGTCCATTTGGAGAGGGAGCCAGCAGATGAAAGATGGATTTCTGTCTGTCTCTTTCTGTTTCTATAACTCTGCCTTTAGACACAAATGAAATGAATCGTTAAAACTTTTATTTGCAAGGAAATGAGATAGAGAGAAAGATTGAGCTTTTGTTTCCACAGGTTCCCTGAGACAGAAACACATAGGCAGATTGCCTCCATCTGCTGGTTCTCTCCCCATAAAACCAGAAAGACCTGGAGCTCAGCTGGGTGGGAGCTAGGGCCCAGAATTCCATCTAGGTCCCCCATGTGGGTGGCAAGGCCACCACTGCCACCTGTCAGGGTCTGGTTAGCAGGAAGCAGAGGCACAACTGGGCTCCATCCCAGGCTCTCTGATAGGGGAGCTGGCATCTCAACCAGCATCCCAGCTGCCACTCCAAACACCACCCCCAGAGTGAGTTTAGATGAGGCTCACGAGGTGCTGTCCCATTGGGTACAGTGACAAGTGGGGGAAGGAAGTGATCAGTCGCTTCGACACGCCGCTGGACACCAAGGGCTACTTCTACACGGACAGCAATGGCCGGGAGATCCTGAAGAGGAGGTGACGGGACGCAGGGCACCCGCGGGGAAGTGGTGATGTGTGGGGGCCCAGGGGTGGGGGCGCTGGCTGATGGTGTGAATGTGGGAGGGACAGGAAGAAGGGAGAGAGCAGAGTGGGGGAGCTGGTCCCCCAGCCTGACCAGATGACCTTCTGTCCCCCAGGAGGAATTATCGGCCCACCTGGAACTTGAACCAGACAGAGCCAGTGGCAGGGAACTATTATCCAGTCAACACTCGAATTTACATCACGGTACCCTCCCCCACCCTGCGCCTCCCCGGGTACAGAATGGGGAGCGCCCCTCACTGGCGGCATCTCCCAGGTGCCTGGGGCTGAGACTGGCTCCCCACCCCACCCTCACACTCACCCCGACCCCCAGGACGGGAAGAAGCAGCTGACGGTGCTGACGGATCGCTCACAGGGAGGCAGCAGCCTGCAGGACGGCTCCCTGGAGCTCATGGTGAGTGGGCGTGGGGGGAGCCGCAGCCAAGCTGGGGTCCTCGCACCGGGTCCCACTCCGGCCCCCTGCGGGACTTCGGACAAGGACACCTGCTACACTCTCACCCTCTCCTGGCCACACTCCCCCCAGGTGCACGGAAGGCTGCTGGGGGATGATAACCGTGGGCTTACGGAGGCGCTGGTCCAGGAGGACCCCGGGTTGCGTGTACGAGGGCGCCACCTAGTGCTACTGGACGTGATCTCCAAGGCGTCCGCGGGGCACCGGCTGCTGGCAGAGGAGGAGGTCCTGGCCCCGCAGGTGGTGCTGGCCCCTGGTGGGGGCGCCCCCTACCACTCCGGAGCCTTCTGGGGCACACAGGTGGGGGCCGTCGCGGCGGGCAGGGAGCCAGGTTCCCAATGGAGCTTGCGGCAGAAGGTGGCTTGGGTGTCAGCTGTGCTTGGCTCTGTCCAATGGGAGCCACCTTGCTCAAAGTTAATTTGCCCTGGGGAGGTCAAAAGCTTGGTCAGTCCCCATGGTAGTACCATCTAGGACTCGCTCAGTGCCCACCCACCTCCCCTGGGTGGAACTCAGTCCTGTCTCTCGCCCCTTCTCCACCTCATGGCTTGGACTAGCCAGGTCTCCGTTTAACCCGGCTGTTTCCTGCTCAGCTTCCCCAGATTCTGTTCCTCTTGCCCCACCCCTTTAAGCCCCACCCCTCCCAATCTTCGTTCCCGACCTCACACCATCAGTAGCCCCCTTTCCACCTCAAACACGAGCAGTTGGGATCCTCCTCCACCTTGGGACTGCCCCTTCCTTCCATTGGCTCCATCCTACAGGATCCTGTCCACTCCTCTCCACTGAGCCCCGCCCCTCCTCCCCCAAGCCCCTCCTCACTCCGAGTTAGTCCCGCCTCTATTCCCCTGCAGTTCTCCGGGCTGCGCCGGGAGCTCCCGCCCTCCGTGCACCTGCTCACCCTGGCCCGCTGGGGACCAAACACACTGCTGCTGCGCTTGGAGCACCAGTTCGCCAGTGGGGAAGACTCGGGCCGCAACTTGAGCTCCCCTGTGACCTTGAATTTACAGGTTAGGAGAGCAGAGCTGGCAAAGAGGACAGATGGGGAGAGAGGGAGAGAGAGAAGGAAAACCATTTGCTACCCTTGACTGGGCCCCATCCTCAATTCCCACAGAGGCTGTTTTCCACCTTCACCATCACCCGCCTGCAGGAGACCACGCTGGCAGCCAACCAGCCCCGGGCCAACGCTTCCAGGCTCCAGTGGACCCCAGACACTGGTGGGCACCTAGCCTGGGAGGGCTTGGCTCCTGCCTGGGGCTGGCAGCTGGGGGTGGTGTATGAGGCATGGGAACGTGGGCCAGGATCCAGTATAGAACTTGAAGACCCTGGACAGATCCAGGCTTGGGGCTTCAGAGTCCAAAGTGGGTTCAGCAAGTGAGCAATAGGTCTCGAGGTTTAAGCATTAGGTCCCGGAGTGAGGTTCGTGGATCTCCTTGGGTCTCTAGATCCGGGAGGATGTCCGTTCCCCTGGGGTTACTCTGAGAGTGTGAGGGCAAGGGCCAGGCATCAGAGAGGATTTGGGGGTGCACGAGTGTGTTCAGGGCAGGGAGTGAAGGAGGATGAAGAATTCTGCACCCCCTCACTCTGTGCCTTCCCCACCCCTCCCCAGGCTTCGTGCATAACCTCACTGTGCCCCCTGTGGACCTGGCCGCCATCACTTTGCAGCCCATGGAGATCCGCACATTTGTGGCCTCGATCCTGTGGAGACAGAACCCCCGGGGCCACAGGGAAGCCCCCTCCCAAGACTGAGCCCTTGGATTGCTGCTTTTGCCACCCATGAATGCCATTAAAATGGCACTGCTAGGACAGCTCTGCGTGGGACTAGTTTTGTTGTCTTTTGGAGGGAGATAACATGTAGATCTCAAAAGGCCACCTAACTGAGCTCTTTTTATTTGAAGATGTATTTATTCTGAAAGGCATAGTGACAGAGACAGGTAGCGGAGAGACAGTAAGAGGGAGATAGGGGAGAGGGGGTCTTTTCCACCCTCTGGTTCACTCACCAAACGGAGTCAACAGCCAGGCTGGTCTTGGCCTATCCAGGTTCTCCAGCCACATCTCCCACCTGGATTCCAGGAAACAGCATCACCCATATCTGTTGCCTTCCCAGTTGGGCAAGCAGGGAGTGGGATTGGAAGCAGCTCAGCGGGGCCTTGAAGCGTTACTCTGAATGAGACGATGGCCTGCACACAGCAGCTTAACCAGGTGATGGCACTACCCCCCAACCCCAGCTCCGCCTTCTGCAGGGAGGGCCCTTGTTGGCCGAGTCTCACCCCTCTCTGTTCCCCACCTCCTCCTGTGCTTCTCCCTGCACGCAGGCCC